TAAATATAAAAGTTGTCTTATTTACAAGATTTTTAATGTGGTGCTGGATATATGCGATTTTATTGCTATTGCAATTGGGATTTAATAGAGCTTTTAGGACAGACAGAATCGCTGTAAATGTTGATAGACAATGTTTTGTTTGGTAGTGAAGTGGCCCACTGAACAGCTTGGTATCCAGCATCTTCAGCTTGATAGATGGAGGTATGTCGGAAGTATTTGTACCTTCTAACATATTTTGGGCAAAATATGTCAGTTTGGAGGAAGATATAGATACTTGAGCCGACAAGAAGGGAGCTTTTAGACCCATCTTGTAGCATGTCTGCATGGTTATCCATGGAGGAAGCAGATGACACCAAATAACATTGTTTACAGAATGATTATCAGAGATAGTAGGGTAATTGCAATGTGGTAGCATATGAACAGTCGTAGATGGGAGTAGACACCGTTGTTGAGCCTTGACGTTTGTAGTTCTGATGTAGTAGTTTAGAACGTTTTCTAGAATACATAGTGGCAAAGGAAGGAGCTCTGCTAGTATCAGAGAGTCATTAGTAAAAACAGTTCTGCAGCACTTTGAAATTCTGATGTTAAACTGGCTTTGAAGAGAGAGTAATTTACTTGCTACTGAATTTTTACTAGTTACTTGACCACAGCCAGAGGCCACATAAAGTAGCATTGGCTATATTGCCCCATTATATAGAGTTTTACAAGCTTTATAATTTAGTCCCCAGGTGCACCTAGCATATTTTAGCAGCATGTAGTTTATTTTTTGGCCTTAGCCAAGATGTAGTCAATATGGCAACGAAATGTGGTTTCTCTCTATTCTCTCTTGTTTTATTTTTTATGATGTTTCTGTTTACACGTGCACTAGCTAGTCGATATGTCAAAGTTTTTTGGGTCTTTTGTGAAAATTAAAATTAAGATAAAAATAAATATTATGACGTTGATTAATGATAGTAATAACAATATTGTTAATAATTAAAAAATAAAGTTCTTAAAATAAATTGTTCATTCGAATTCATTAAATTTTTATATTTTTAAATTTGTTCACATAAAGTATTTTGTAAACAATAGTACATATTAATTAATAATTATATATTTTGGACCTAAGGTTTTTAGGGTTTCATAAAAACATTTTTTTGGTTAAAATCGTTCTAACAAATCATGCCAAAATATTACTTAAGATAGGGAAGGGAAGGGGAGGGGGATCAAAGAAAATATTACAGTTTCTTACAAAGATGTGGGTGGGGTCTAGAATGGCCGATATCGCCCTTACGTAATTTATGGACGGCCCCTAAGGTCAATTCGTCTGTTGGTGACGGTTTTAAGAAGGCAGAAAGAGACAAGTGTTTCACAAAGAAACCGTTTATTTTAGATGATAATGCTTACATAATATCGTCAATGTCCGAAAGTTCAGAGCTTAGTTCACAAGTTGTCTTTGAAAGTTCTTTTCTTTTCTTGTCCAACGCTGGTGGAACTCCGGGGTGGTTTGGAATTAATCTTCGTTGTTGGGAGAAACAGCACAAAAATAAAAAAAATAAAAATAAATTTAAAAAAAGCAAACGGAATTACAGCGAACAGAGGACGACAATTACAACAGGTGGACTAGACAGGAAGCTCTTCTGACCTTGACGACTAAATTCTTCTAAACCTCTTTTTTTGATCGGTTCATTGCTAATTGGCTAGTCGTTTCCTTCCTTGCTTCTCAATTGGTCTCTCACCTGTCCCTCTAATTT